GACACACGTTCCCTTGCTCTGGTCCTTTTGTAGAATAAAAATAAATGTAATGTCCATATTCACACTCCTCAAAAGTTGCATCACAGTACTGCTTTACTATTTTCCTCCTCCTGCACATGAACTGAAAGCAGCAGATTGTACCACAAGCATGAACATGAACAGAACAGAATCATGAAACACTTGAAACCTGACGGGGAGGAAAACAGACGCACCGACACTGAACAGAGGAAGACAGAGGACTTAAATACACAGAAGGGTAAAGAGGGAAGTGGAAACACCTGGAGAAACACAGCTGACATAAATGAACATGATGCTACAAGGGAAGTGAAACTAAACACAGCGAACATGGAAACACTAGACCTTTCAAAATAACACAGGAAACATCGATAGATGAAGACACGGGCATAACTTCCACGATTAACACAGGGGACAAGACAGACTACACAGAAGACAGGAAAAGACTCGGAGAACACGGAGAACTAGAAGAAACATAGACCAGACTCAACTAAGACACACTAAATAATAATACTAAAAACTAAAATAATACTCATAAGTAGGGATGGGTACCGGTATCCGGTGCCATCATGGCACCGGTTCTGTCATAAATGGTAGTAACCAGACCGGAAAGCAGCGCACATTTTGGTGCTTTATTTCGGTGCTTTAATGTTGTTGGTGTGTAATTTACGTTGAGTAGGCTAACCACGTTATTACATTAATGCATGTAAGGTGAACTAGCAAACACCATATAGCTACATGCGGCTGTCTTCTTGTTTGATGGCAGATACTCCCTTCACCCTGGCCAAAAAGGCTAAAATGACCAAAGAAAAAGTGGAAAACAGCTAAACATGAGAGGTTTTTGGACAAAGTTTGTGTTTTTTCCATTGTTTAAGCACTGCTTCCAGCCAAGAGTGATACCATATATGCCCCATAGCTGCAGAAAAGGCTAACATTGTTATCGGATAAAACCTAAACGATCCCCATCCCTACTCATAAGTAATCAAACATACAAAATTCTCAACTCAACCTCAACTAAGAACAACACACGAACTAAACAATACTTTACCAAAAGACATCAACAATTCTAAATAGCTCAAAGAGCTGGGTCACAGACCATGCCCCCGACAGCTGTAGGAGGAAGGCCCAGAGAAGCCTCTCTGATCCCAGTAATGATGTACCGTTGTATATGACAAATAAACTTGATAAAGTGCACTGTGAATGGGTAATAGGCCTGTAAGTGTAAGGGCACTTTGAGTGATCAATAATGACTGACATTCAATTTTCCCAGTACGGCCTTAATGAAACTGAGTTTGACACTTTAAAACTTTTTAAAAAATTTTAATTCCAAAACAAAAAACAAGCTGATTTCTTTCTCTAGCAAAGAACAAAAACAAGAAAACAACTCATAGCTGTGGCAATTTTTTAGATAAACTTACAGTGCATCTGGAAAGTGTTCACAGTGCTTCACTTGTCCCACAGTTTGCCATGTTACAAAACTCCAAAATTAATTAAATTCCCTTTTTTTCTTTTTTTCTTTTTTTTACCTCAAAATTCTACACACTATATCCCATAATGAGAAAAAGACATGAGTAGTCCAATCATCCGCCCCTGGAGCCAATCAGCCTCCACTCTACAAGGTTTTAATCTGTGCTATCTGTCATTTTCCCTTTCAGACTCTTGTTTGTGCAGCCCACCTCTTTCCCATCTCCAGCTCAGACACCTCAGTCAGAGTTCCATCCAAGCCTCAGCCTGTTACTGCAATCTGAAGACTGCTGAAGATTCTAAGAAACATTCTGTTCTTCGACAAAGTCTACAGCCTGTTCGAATGTTCTTCATCAGTGTTAATGCTGTACAAATATATCAGAAGCTGTGTATAAACCTCTTTGTGCATAGAATGTGCCCATATGGAAAAGAAATAGTAAAAACATATATGATTTACTCATGAAAGTGGCCACTTTCTCATTACTTTCATATATTTTTTTTAGTAAGTATACAAAACATACAAGTTTCATTATATAATTTTTCAAGGGATCTTATATGTGTTTTCACTCTTGTATGCTTTTCATACAAGTTTCACACAAGACAGATAAAAACTTTATAAGATTTATATATATCTTTTCCATATGGGTGAGCTTAGAGAATGAGTTATATATCATGTCTATGTTAGACTTAAATGTTGCAATCATTTTTCCAATAAAAAGAACCTTGACAAATGTCCTGACAAATTATGTTGTAGGTTACTTTGGAAACACTCTGGCAGCCAAATACAATGTGCTCAGACGCTTAATAAACAATACTAAACTGAACAAAGAAGCTGGATTATGAAGGAAAGGAGAGCTAGTGAAGTAAAACAGTAGGAGTCATGTGAAAGAGACATCAAGGACAGAATCCATGAGGACCCAGAGCCAAAAAACGAGAAAGAGATTTCAGAAATTATAACAGTAAAGGCCTCCTTCTATACTACAGAAATCACATCTGGTGTGTGCTGTGTGTGCGCTAAATGGATATGCCACAGGGCCTTTGTCTTATTAAAGTTATTACAGGGACATATCCAGATCACCACTGCTTCTTGTTTATTGAAGATAAATTACAACCACTGTAACAGGAGCAGGTTTCATAAAAAAACACCACTGTTCTCTTAGAGTCTAGGCAGTGTTTGGCAAATTCTGTCATTTTTCTTCAAGATACTGACATTTCATTTGATAAATCATGAACGTAATTGATTTTATTTCAAGAGGCCCACATTGTGGCAATACAAGGTGTTCTCAGTTATTGAGCTGTTTGAATATAATTTAGCACCTTTGGAGAAACAGTCGGATGTCCCACAATACACTGTGCCGACCGTTTGCTGACTGTCGGTCAGCTTTTTTTCTTCTTCTCTGAAGCTGTGCACATCTTTCATTTCTCTGCCGCAGCTGACAGCCAACATCCAGCTGAACAACAGAGTCCGGAATCCTCTGTAATGGATTATGGGAATTTTCAGTGATTTTATGTGCACACACACGCACACACACACACACACACACACACACACACACACACACACACACACACACACACACACACACACACAGACATATAATGCCTTTATTGTCACTGTGATGACACCATATGAAGGTGACAAATGGTGATTGATTGTTTAAAAAGTTGGCTTTAAAGGGAAAGTGAGATGCAGTGAAGTTCAACATGAGGAGAGAAATGCAAACAGAAGCACAAAACAGAATCAAAAGAAGAACAGCTGAGATGCAAACAATGGCTGCAGCAACCAACCTCCTCTGAACAAACAAGAGTAGCATATATTTACAGTCAGCTGACAGCACCATCTAGTGGTAATAATATAAAGAAAAGAGGAAGTTAGTGAGGCTGTGATGAAGACACAAGACATATTGGTACAAGCTATCACAGTACAATGCTGGAATTCACTGAGCCTCTGAGAGCAACCCATTTTTCACTAACATTTGTAGAAACTGTCTGTGTGCTGCTTGAGTTTATCTATATATTTTATTCTAGTCTAGAATGACACATTATGTCATTAACTGCCAGAACTCTGCTGCCCGTGTCATCACCAGGACCCCTTCTGCCCACCACATCACTCCTGTCCTGCAGCAGCTTCATTGACTCCCGGTCAAATATCGCATCAATTTCAAAATACTCTTGTACACATTTAAGGCTATTCACCATCTCTCTCCTCGATATCTCTCTGACCTGGTTAAGATCACCGCCCCATCTCGTTGTCTCAGATCTTCTTCTTCCCTTTCACTCTCCGTCCCCTCCCCCCGTCTTGCAACCATGGGGAGCAAGGCTTTCAGCTGCTCTGCTCCATGACTCTGGAATTCCCTACCTCCTGATTTAAGAAACATCTCTTCCTTCTCTCTCTTTAAGTCCAAACTCAAAACCCACTTGTACAAAATAGCTTATCCCACATAACCTTTCCACTCTCCTATTTTATTTGTTTATGTCTTATGCTTTTATGATTCTGTAAACTTCTTGCTTTTATGTTGCTTTTATTCTACTGTGTACAGCGACCTTGAGTGTTTTGAAAGGCGCTTTCAAATAAAATGTATTATTATTATTATTATTATTATTATTAACTTCTTTCTCCCTTCAGACTTTCTGTGCATGCCCAATTGGATTTTTTAAAACAACACTAATTACAAACACTGATTTATGTATGCCAACATTTATTATCAAGTTTTTCTAAAAACTCCCTGAAAGTCCTTATTTAGGTGTGTCTGAAAGGGTGCAGTGAGAATAGTAACAGGGAATACAAACTTCACTTTTACATCTAGATTTGAATTTGAAATCCTTTCACTGACTGGCAGAGTCCTGAATGACCAGATCCCATCTCATTAAAAATTCAATTTGATTTTATTTACATAGTGCCAAATCACAACAACAGTTGCTTTTATATCATAATGTAAAGACCCTACAATAATACAGATTCAGACAAAGACTCCATGGTATCGTTTTATGCCAATATTGCACTTTTCTCTCAGACTGCTGGTGCATTTGTGGTTATTAGAGTTTGGGAGGAAGAGCCTTTAGCTTTCAGGCCTCTCCTGTTAAAACCAGCTCACAGTTTTATTCAGGACACAGACATCCTCCAGATTCTTAATTATATTGCATAAAGACAGCTTTTGTTGTGAATTAGTGCCATGTCAATAAAACTGATTTAAACTGAATAATGTAATAAAAAATCAGAAATGATGTTTGCATTCTTTTTGTTTTAAACTTATTTACCACTAAAAGTGCTCTTTGCACTGCAATCCACATGCAGACAGTCACAGTTATTAATTCAATGTACTGTGTGGTTCAACACTCAAAGACAAAATGCAGTCTAGAGAAGCCTATTACTGAGTGCAGATTAAATTTATCAAGACAATGTCCTGAAAGCCATGAGACCACGACCCCCAGCATCTGTCAGGACTGCTGCTCACACTCTGTCAGATCACCAAAAAGACGATAAGCTAACTATAAAAGTATCACTGAGCTTTTTTCACATGAGAACCCTCGGCCCTTGACCTTCACCATCTGTTACAGAGTGATTTGTTTCAGCTATCCAGTTCCAAAAGTAAGAATCAATGCTAAGAACAGACTGGATTGCACTGAAGGCATATCTAGGGAATTGATTGCATGAATTCACTATCAGTGTAGCTGAAGGAAAAAAGGACTCAGGACTGATTATGATACTTAGGATTTGACAGAATACATCTTTATTTACTTATAGGATGTGTTAATATCTGATTATATCTTACCTAATATTTATGCATAAATGTAGAAAAACATGAAAAACCTTGTTCATCTCAAAATATTTCATTTCAGTCAGTGCTCTGTATGCTACTATGATCTTGTAGTAGAATGACCCAACTGCACACCTGCAATCAATGTTTATTTACAGTCCCTTCAACTTTATTTTGCTTAACTCAGAGTCGTAACTTTTTTAGCTGCATTCTGCTTCTGGATATTGAGTTGCATAATCCACCAAAACTAATACAATGTGATAACCTTGTGCACTCCAGTGAAACAGCTCAATGAGGTCCATGCCAATGTGCTCAAACAGGACCTCTATTGAAGGTAGTGCACAGACACAGAACAGACTTCCTTGGAACCTTAGTTCCTGGACCAGAGAGACATACAAATCTTAAATACATCTCAAAGCAGTTTTTTTAAAATACAGGAACACAGGTAGGCAGATATGCTGGAGAGAGACAGAAGTGCTGTACATGGAGAAAAACCATGGTGTACAATCTGGACTCATAACCAACAAAAGAAGCAAAAGAAGCAAACAAATACATGACCACTTCAAAGTCCACCTCTGTTGTTTAGTTGAGGTGTTGGTGCCCTCCAGAGGCCAGGAAATGTATCACTTGTACAGGTTTGATTTCAAACTGCATATCTGGTTTGTATACGTGCATGAGGAAAGAGGGAAAATGACGTTATCTTGACACAAAAATCTTGTCACACTGTTGATAATAATGTAATTTCAAGGCCTTATACACTGACATTAGTTTAAATAGAGCAAAACTGTATTTTCATCAAAGTTAGGGTCTCCACTTATTCTGTTTTTGATTACTTTATTATTCTTTAGAAATGTCAAAACACAGTTGGATTAGCATATAAGTAAAGACTGTGACAAATATTGCTACAGAATGGATAAATTATGCAAACCTTAAGCAATCACTGTCCAACAAAATGAATCTGTGATGACTTTTTGTGGTCTGGACTTCTTCTTTGACTGGGTGCGTGGAGTTTAAATTAAGTGGATGAGAAAAACACAGACACTTCATAATCTAGGAAAAGTTGTTTCAAATGCCATCATAGCTGTCAAGAAAAAATAGACAAAGTATTGAAATGAGTATAAACTATATGGGTGACTGCCAACAAACTGCACTTTGAAGTTAACCAAAGTCTAAACAGTTATCATACCTCAGGAACCTGCCTGACTCTCACTCCTTTAGCTCCTCCCCTTGATGAAACTGCATCCATCAGTTTTTGGGTCCAATGGTCAAGTTTAGCCATGAAGGTAGATTCAAAGCTTACAGTGGTTATTCTCTTGAACTCTTCTTTTATCTGTAGACAACACATACAGAAAAATTGCTGTAAGAAACGTTAACCCTTATTACAAACAAATGTCAGGCTTCACAATTTAAACTTGCTTAAAACTGCAGACAGATAATCCACCACAGTTATAATTTAATATATTTTTTAAAATATTAAATAATGTTTATCTATGCGCAAATTGCTTACGTAAAGTCTTAATGTCCTGGCATTCACATAGTGTATGCCAGAATGCTACTGCCAAAATCATATCAACAATATTTCACAAAACTTGATGTGTTAAAAAAGTAATAATGATACATACAGCTCTTAAGATCAAGAACAATACGTAGCTGTTTCGCAACAGTAACCAAAATCATTTACAACGTAATATCATGTAGCAGGTATCCTTCTCACAGAAGTATTCACAGTTTGAAGGCGTCTAACTTTTAAACACACAAACAACAAAAAAGAGTCTGTGACTGAAATTAGATATAATTAAAAAGCAACGTTTTAATCGTGCTTTGCTCTCATAAGTATTATCCACTTCTATGCTAAAGTTCAGAATGACTATATACATGTTAAATATTAGCATTACTTACATGTGGTATGGTACATTTGTAACATGAGCGTAACATCATAAACAAATCCACTACTGCTCATAACATTGCTTTAGTAGAACTGTTATTTGTAAAACAAATGTTACTTACCTTAAACATGCAACACATTATCTACCTGATTTAATTAACTGCACCTTGAATTTCACTTTAAACCCATTAAAATTGGGATTTAATTTCAAATTAAATAAAAAATTAAGTTGATGGAGTTTCTCAAAATTATTCAGTCAACACAACCTAACAAAATAAAGTTTGCAATTTAGAAGATGTATCTTAATAAATTTTTCTCTTGCAGTAATGCATTTAATCAAGTGGTGGTAACAGGTGTGATGAGTGTAGAGACCAGATGGAGGATTCTCATGGATGGAGGATTCTCACAAGGAGGATTTTGCTGCAGCACCCTCTTTCCAGCTGAGTTCTGCTAGCTCCTGTGAGGAACTAATCACCAGCCACTTACACATTTTGCCCTAAAGTCCTTCTTTGTCATCTTCAGGGATTCCATGTTGTTACTGAAATGACAATATAAAAGTGACTGTGCCACAGATGGACCAGTCTATGACATTTTGGTATGTTGTGCTAAGATTAGCTGAGGTTGTAGCAGTATAAAATGTTTTTCACTACTATGTTCAAATATAATGGAACTTTTGTTGAATTCACACCTCACGTGCGGAAAACAGAAAGGAGGCGGGCTTGCTATTCTTGTTAACAACTGGTGGTGTAACCCTGTTAACATAACAATGAAAGAGCGGAGTTGTTGCCCTGACATTGAACTGTGCGCTCTCGAACTCAGGCCGTGTTATTTGCCCAGGGAATTTACCCATGGAGGCTGTTTATGCTGCTCCCTCTGCTAGCCCCACAGCTGCATGTGACACTGTTCACTCTGCCATGGCCCAGTAACAGACTGCGCACCCGAGTGCCTTCATTCTATTTTGGGTGACTTCAACCAAGTCAGCTTGGACAATAAATTGCCAGCTTTTTGCATTATTTCCTCAGGCATTAATAAAGTTTTCTGATTCTGATTCCAAAAAGATAAGTGTGCACATGCAGGGAAATTACTGTTACTACTATTTTAACACTGCTGTGTTAATGTTAATGGCCCTTCTGGGTCTCCTCTCTGCTCTCTCCTATCTTGTCCCTTTTGTCTTACTTCTCTCTATCACCTTTTCTATCCCTTTGAAGAAGTGAGACTCCATAAATGCTAAAGAGGTAAGTATTATTGCTCAGTTGTAGTGAATAGATAGAATAAACTGTAGAAAACTAAACAGAAGAAAGAAGAAGAAATAACAATTTAACATAAACCAGTGACACACTCCAGGGCCTGATCAACCCTGGCAGGGCCTCCTTGGATGAGGGTGTCTAGTGATAATGGCCGAAACACCCGATGAATCCAAGGTCCACTACTGACGATGTGTCCCAAATCTTAATATCTAATCTAGATCAGATCTCTAATCCCTAAACCTAACCAAGGAAAATTAGCCTGGGGAAAAGACCGAAAGTTGATGCACACAACGATGTGTGCTGCTGGTAAAGTTTCTGAGCTGCTTTTCCTCATAACAGCCATCCCTCAAGAGTCTCTCCATCTAAAGCAATGCATTATCAGGGACTGTAACATCTAGTCCTTTTTACTGAATTATATAATACAAAGATGAAGAACTTTCACTAGGCTACTGCTTACATAGTAAAAGTAAATCACATCTTGTGAAGTTGCAGTTTCATTTTACAATGAAAATTTCTGCTTCATTCAGAGTCGTAACATGAATCTACTTATTAAAAATAGAAAAATTTGCAAAATAAAAAAACAAACAAAAACAATACAAAAACTAAAGCTCATTCTCATTTTGATTTGCATCAGTGATTTTTGAAGTATGGGCTGAAAGTCATCCATATTTTTCCTTTTTTGAACAAACAGTAGGATAAAGTAAAAGCAATCATAAAATCATCTGACGTAGGACAAGACACTGGTATGCAGATCCTATTGTGACTAGCAGTCAAGAGGCCTGAGTGACATCCCATTGTATGCTGGAATGTGTGCGCGTATGACCTCCACCCTGTATTGTTACACTGGAAACCAACCAGAAAAACACGTGACACACATAAAAACCTGTTCTACAGCATCACCACCTGTCACACCTCAATACACAAAACTAACTTACTTTTGAAGCTGGGACATACCACACATATCAGACATACAAGAGCAGGACCTGCAGAAAAATGTGTGTGAGGTGTTGCTAAAAGCATGTCTTACTTCACTAAAGTATGCCAGATGTTATCATTGGGGGGAAAAAGTGGTCTCCATAGTAAAGACGAGTGTGAAGAAGAAAAAGGAAAAGCACTAACCATTAAACAGGAGAACACATTAAACTGAAACCCCTGAGGCTGAAGCATGAGAAGGAAAGAGTGGAGTAAAAAAGAGTTGTGTAATTGAGCGAAAAAAAAAAAGCAATAAAATCAGAAGTGTTTGCAGGTCAGATTAGATGTGTGTATTAGTAATCAGACAGGTTTCATGAGAGAAACATGGAAATGTAAAACTTAAAAGGAAAGAATAAAAATGAGCCACAAAGGAGAATACTTGTTACGTGGAATTAGAAAGAAAATGAAAAGCAGAGAGACATGAAATATGAAGGCATAAAGAAGAGCTTTGGATTAAGAGCAGTTGCAGGTCAGCTCACATAGCTGACATTCCTGATCACATGCACACTTTTATCTGGTTCAGTCTCACTCTGTCTCTCACTGAGCTCAGATTCATTAAACCTGACTCATCTGGTTTCCTGGGTGTGGCTGCAGGTTAATAGATGAAACACGTGGCACACTATAAAGACCTTTCTTCTTTATTTCCATTAGGGTCTAATGGGAATAAAGAATAAAAGTTTGTGTTCTGCGTCCTGATCAGCTGTAGACCATTGTGAATCAATCTCGTCTTCTGTACAGCACAGAATGCGTCCAGCTTGTCAAATTGACATAAATCTTCGATCACTAGCAGTGTGACTCTGAAGTGCTGTACTGTATGTTGGTAAGTTTTCTCCCCAACAAATAACAACAATGTTGATTCAGCGTTTTGCACCGCCAAAAGCACCTGCAGGCGCCTTTGGTTTCATTCTATAATACTGGACTTATTTTTCTACAAAGCTTTGAACTTTGAGAGTGTTTAAACAATAGAGAAAAGTGTGAAAATGTTCCTGCCTGTCTGAGAAAAGTGTATAAAGTGTGTAGTGTGGGGTTTTACAGCTTTAAAACATCTATAATAATTGTAAAAAGTAAAGTTGGCTACTTCATGAATTTCACCTATTGCAGGTTATTTTTGGAACGCAGCTCCCGCGATAAACGAGGGACCACTGTCTCCCAGAGCTTTTCAAGCTTTTGTACATAGACTACAGCATGAACCTTCTTGATACTTTCTTGTTTCCAATTTATTACCCCACTATTACCAACCACTCTATAATAGCAACTTCTATTTATATTTTTTGTCTGACTCAAACCTGGGACAAAAAAATGATCTTTTGGTGTTCACAGTTTTAGTTTTTAATGCTATCTCCTGTGGAGCATATATATTTATATGAACTACATAACCATGATATCCCTGCTTCAACAATCCTTCTGATCAACATGTCCCAACCATGACCCTTATTTGAATGACCCTAACTCATAGGCTAACATTAAAGCAAACCCTAATGCTAAAGAAGTGGCAAGTTGGTGATGCACAGAAAACAAGAGAGGATTAGACATGTCTGTCCATCTTTCTGTCCTTCTGAGCATTTCTGAGGTGTGGGTTGTCCACTAAATGCACATGCCAAAGTGTCCATGAGCAAGACACCGAACCAAATTAAAGGTTAAAGGGCAAACAGTCTCTTATATAAGCAGGGGCCCTGCCATGATACACACACACAAGCACACTGCTGGCTGGAGGCTTCCCATGATGCACTGTGTGTTTATATACGGCTCTGAATCTCATCATTGGTTATTATTAATGGTTATTAACATATATAATTATTAATTAGTTACTCCCACCAAAGCAGATGAATAATTGCTATGCTGATTCATGTAATGAATTTTTCCATTGCATTTTGTTTAAGACTTTACTGATTAGACAAAGCTTTATATTAATACTCACCAGAATCCCACCAGGTCACCCGTTGCTTCAATTCACACTAGAGAGACATCGGCGAAGTGTCCTTACTGTAGCCTTTGGTGTCAAATAGCATTCTCATCTGGTCCTACTTGGCAATCTGGAGAGATGCAGTGATGTCAAAAGCAGAACTTTTTTTCTCCGCTAGGTTACCAAACACAGTGTACAAGATCTCACTAATGGCTTCAGCCTTAATTGAGTTAGTTTTGGTGATTTACATATATTGTAGTTACAGTCTTCTTCACTCACTATAATTCTTTATCCTGTCTTCACAGGTAGCCCTATCTGTTAAAAGAGAGCTTTTCCTTCCCACTGTTGCCAAAGTGCTTGCTCGTAGGGGGTTATCTGATTGTTGGGATCTCTTTGTTTTCTCTGTATTATTGCAGGGTCTTTACCTTACAGTATAAAGGGCACTGAGGCAACTGCTGTTGTGATTTGCTTCTCTATAATCAAAATTGGATTGAATCCTTGTTGAATCACAAATCAACTGTGATTAACCACATCTTTTTTTGGAAAGATGAGTTCAGTTTCACTGCGACAGACTGGCGACCTGTCCAGGGTGTACCCCGCCTCTCGCCCTATGACAGCTGGGATAGGCTCCAGCGCCCCCCGCGACCCTGAAAAAGGATAAGCGGAAGCGAATGGATGGATGGATGGAGTTCAGTTTCATTAGCCACAGCCAGGCCTGATTATTGACAGAATTTTTGACAGACAAAATCACTTAAATAGAACCTATCCAACAAAGTAAAATAGTCTAAAATTCTGCTTTAATCCAAGGAAACAGCTGAGAAACAAAGTCACTGACATCTATTAGTCTGAACAGGGGGGATGAAGCCATTGCTAAGGCGTGGGTAACTATGGTTACAGTTATTATCCACAAATGGAGAAAACTTGAACAATGGAGACACATGCTGGACTTTTTGGAAAGTTTGAGTCCTGTTAAATCTGATATAAAACTAACATAGCTTTTCATGAAAAGAACATCATACTAACAGATAAACATGGTGGTGTGGTAGTGTGATGGTCTGCGGCTGCTCTGCTGCTTCAGGGCCTGGATGACTTGATGTAATTGATGAAGCATGAATTCTGCTCTCTACCAGCAAATCCTGAAGGAGAATGTTCTTCCACCAGTTCATGAACTGAAGCACAAGCACATTTGGGTTATGCAGCAGGACAATGATCCACACACATATAGTAGGTCCACCTCTGAATGGCTCAAAAAACCAATGATCAAATGAATTAAATCAGACTGAGATGCTTTTTAACATGACCTCATGCTAGAAAACCATCCAACGTGGTTGAATTAAAACAATTCAACAAAAAAGAGGCCAAAACTCCTCCACAGCTATGTGAAAGACTCACTGCCAGTTACCACAAACACTTGATTGCAGTTCAGCTGCTGAGTGCAGCACACTCAGGTTTATGGGGGAGCTACTGTTTTGCATAGGGTCAGGTAGGTCTGGATAGCCTTCTTTGATTGAAAATCATGAAATCATAATTTAAACATTGCATTTTGAATGTTCTCATCTTTGTCTGATAGTAAAATGTGTTTGGTGATCTGAAACATGTACCCAATATGCATAAAACTATGCATATTTATAAAGGGTGCAAATGCTTTGTCACAGCACTGCACTATTGTGCTCTAACATTATATGATTGGAACATAACTTATGGTTGTTACAGCTGGTTGTCTAATACACTCTTTATTTCTGTCTTGGTGTTTCCACACTGGTTAAAAGTGCGTTGTTTGCACTAGTTGAGTTTTTCTCTGAAATATAACATTTTATATTCACCAGGCTATCAGTATGATGTAAGTAAAAGTGATTTGACATTAGAACAGAGTATTATCCTTTCTGTCCTTGTGCCAGCAAAAGCAAAGGAGGAGTAATATGAATCTGTCCACTGGAGTATGGAGCAGCACACACACGCACACACGGAGAGAGAGAGAGTAATAGACAGGTCATGTTGTGTTTTCTTCTTCCAGTATCACGTCCCGCCCCCTGTGTTCATCAGGAGGAGGGGTGGGGAGCAGAAGGGCGGGTTTCGCTGGTACCTCAGATCTCATACTGGATTTACCGGACTGCACCTGTGAGGAGCCGGGTTTGTTTCTGCGCGTCGGGAGGAACGAAAGGCGGGCCCGCAGCAGCACGGCAGCCAGGAGCCTGTCCGAGGACAACACCATTACCGCTGCAGCCCCTCAGCAGCTTTACGCTCGAGAGTAGAGGAGGGAGCTGCCAGGCTGTCAGACCTCCAGCGGATATTTTTACCCGCAGTGCCTCAGACAAGCAGCCGACCGAGGAGCACAATGTCCAGGCAACAGCAGCAGCAGCAACAGCGGACTTCGTTCAGACTGTCGGACAACCTGGTGGAGGTCAAGAGCAAAGTAAGTGATGGGCTGCTGACTGATGCTGTTAGCGACGCAGGGTGTGCGTTATCAGGACCCCAGCCCTCCGCTCTTCTCATCCAGATCGTGATGTAACAAACACAAATATCTGGCCGCTGCAAATTCACGCGATATTTAGAAGAAACGAAATCCGACCGGGTTCAGCTGACAGCGGCCTGGCTGCTGCCGCCCGCAGCCCCCCCACCAACACCACCAACACCATCAACATCGTGTCAGCCTGCTCAGCCTCGATAATCCCAGTCCTGTGTTTAACTCGATCTGTGTGTGTGTGTGTGTGTGTGTGTGTGTGTGTGTGTGTGTGTGTGTGTGTGTGTGTGTGTGTGTGTGTGTGTGTGTGT